GGGGTCTCCCCGCGGGCCGTGCGAACCGCCCGGGCCCAGCTTCCTGCACCCAGAACGCAGCCCTGGAGCCCTCCTTCCCCGCAGCCCGAGCGCTCGGCCCCCAGGGACACCTGTCCGGCAACCTTTCCTTCCTCCGTTGCCTCGGGAGGGCATCCATTCTCCTTTGTTTGGGACTGCGTCCACCGCAGAGACTGGTCATAGACTCGACCCAAAATGAGTGTGGAAGGAGGGCTGGACGTGGAAACGCTTTCAGCCTCTTCCGCAATCCAGAACTGCAGACCTGGCATTAACAGTGCTGCAGCTGTAAACTCAAGAATAACAACTCTCATTTATCCATCGTGTACCACATTAGCATTCTGATCCTTTCATATACTCACATGAAACCGCTTTGATTTTGCCGTCTATTTCCGCCCCGCCCATGTTTTCTAATTTCCTTTTCATTTTTGTTTAACCTCCCCTCCATAAATATTCTGCCTCTTGTCCAGGCAAATTGACTTGAACACAATTCTGGGCAACCCCTCGCTGCTCTTTTGGATTCCTTCCAGGTCTCTGACCACACCCCTCTGCAACAGACCACTAGCAAGATGGTGAGAGAATTAAATTCTTTGCACGGATGCCCTGGTTTTTAGGAAACAATGCCGCCACCGCCCCATTCTCAAATCTGCCCAGAACTGTAAATCCAAAGAAAGATTCAGTAGAAGAAAGGAAGGCTTGTTTTCTGCTAATTACCTACAAAACTACTTGAGAATGTACAGCGTCAGCATTTAAGGTTTTTGCAGCTTGATGTTGTACACAGCCACTTGTCTGTGCGGAGCTTTGTGTTGCTCAGTCTTTGTATTTACTGTGCATCCAAGGGACAATGGTAATTATAGGTTAATGTGATGATTGTGGGTATATTTTATGCTGCCCTTTTTTCTGCTAGTCTCCAGTCTAGTAGTTGAGTTCTCAAATGAAGCTATGCCAACAAATGAAGATCTTCACATAATGCGGGTGTGAGAAGAGAGAATAAATCTTCCTATTAAGTCAGCAGTTCTTTAACTTTTTTGGATCTCAGTACTAAAGAATTTGTGTGTATGTGGGTTATATGTGTCTATTTTATAAGAATTTAAAATAGGATGTTCTTAAAAATATTAATTTATAAAACAGTAATAAATACATTATATTAACCAATATTTTCTTTATCCATTCATCATCAATAGACATAGGTTGCTTCTGCCTTTTGACTCTTCTGAATACTGCCGTGATTACTGGGGTGCAAATACTTGTATCCCTGCTTTTAATTATTTGTGAGCTATGTCTAAAAGTGGAAATTGCTGGATCATTTTTTAATGCTATGTTTAATAGCTTGAGGAACCACTATACTATTTTCTGCTCTGGCTATACCATTTTTGCATTCTCATCAGCAGTGCATAGACTGGCTTCCAAATTCAGCAACACTGTTTTGCATTTTTGCAAAACTTATGTGTGACTTAATATAAGATATACTGATTTTTGTTTGTTTCTTTCTTTCTTTCTTTTTGACAGGGTCTTCTATGTAGTTCAGGCTGGCCTTGAACTCATTATGTTTGAACTCTCAGCAATCCTGCCTGAGCCTCCCACGTTCTGGGATTACAGGCATGTGTCACCACAGCTGACGATACCCTGATTCTTAACATCTGCTTCTGCATCTAATCTGTTATTCTACTTTGTTTGCTTTTAGAAGATGAAGAGCCAAGCTAGGCAAGCGCTCTGCTACTGAACTACATCCTCATCCCTTTTTATTTTTGATTTTGAGGCAAGGACTCACTAAGTTGCCTAAGCTGGGCTCAAACTTGGATTCCTCCTGCCTGAGCCTCCCAAATAGCTAGGATTACAGTTGTGTATCACTATGCCTGGCCCCATTGGTCCTCTCTCAAGTTTCTTATTTTATAAAATTAAAAAGACTAGACTAAATTATATCTAAGGTTTTTCCCCAATTCCATGTTGCATAGGAATTAAACCAGGAGAATTTCCCTCCTGTCTCAACCAGATTGTGCAGCTTGACACTCAAGCAACCTCTCGTGTCTTTCATAGAGGATAAATGATGTGGTCTAAGAAACAAAAGAAGGGTTTTCAACCGTGTTGCGCCAAATTATATAATTTTCTCTTTCAATACTTTTTTTTTGGTACCAGCAACTGAACTTGGGACCTTGTTCCCATCTTTTTCAATAAAAGAAGTTCACTTTTTAAGTTACAGCAATACGTATAACATAGAAAATTGAAACTCTAATGACATGAAAAAGAAAATATTGAAAATAGGAGCAACCCACTTTCCAGTTCCTCTTCTGTCTCTTAGAAGCTTTCAATAAATTCTTCTTGCTCTTAAAAAATAAGAATATACACACAGCATACATAACAGAAAAACTGATGTGTTAACTGCTTTCAAAAATCTTTTCTATGTCCGTCCCTTTTAAAGCAAGTATGAGCTTGCCATACTTGTAATTTTAAAGTAATATAAACAACCTTTTATAATATCAATAGCTACAGTGTAGTTCACTTGGGGATGTTGGAAATTTGATTAATCTCTAACTTTGGACATGTCGCCTATTTCCAACTTCTTGCTATGAGCAACAGTGATTAGATAAATATTCTTATCCCTTTTTTTTCAAATCCTCAATTATTTTCTTAAAAAAGTTCTTACAAATGAAATTTTTACATCAAGGCGCAATTTGTATATCAGAGGTACTTTCAGGCCTTTAATATTTATTATCATATTCTTCTCAAAAAAATTCTCACAAATTATACTAAACCAGCAGAATATGTAAGTGCTGGTTTCCCGCATTTACCCAACACCTGAGCATTTTAATAATTTTTATCCTTGCCAGTTTGGTAAGTGGAAATTTCTTGTAATTTGCATTTCATTCCATCTTTTGATGATTTACTTGATAAATATAATTCATTAACAAAATTTGACACTGTGGTCTAGAAACCAAAAAAAAAAAAGTTACTTGTATTCTGATGTAAAATTTTAACCATATGGAAAAATATTTACAAATCAGAACAATTACAGTTATTCAAGAATTTAACAATTATATATCTGACTGTAATAAAAACTGAGATCATTCCCCTACATCCAATTGGTATAACCTCCAAAATTTTATGACATTAGTGTTAGGGGGAAAATAGTCTAGTAAAGAAAGGTCTGCCTGCCTGGCAAATGCAGCAAGGTCCTGAGTTTGATCCCTGGTACTGGAAAAAAAAAAAGGAAAAAGGCTAGTATTGTCGCGAGCCGCGACGTCAGGATCCTGCCAGCAGGTCCTAAACCTGAAAGGACGAGGACAGAGAGACGGGAGGCACCTTTCTTCTCATGTTCCTTGCTTGCTTTATTACCGAACCTTTTCCTTTTATACTCTCCCGCTGCACAGGAGCAAGCGTACCGCCCACACATTCCAGAGGGAAACAATAACTATTATGGGTTACATCTGCTAGGCAATAGATCAGACCACCAGCTGAACTAGCCCGTTGCCATGGGCGACGGCAAGTCCACACTGCTCGGGTGAATCACAGGTCAATATGGCTGCGCTCATGTTGTGTTCCTTTACAATGCTCTCCATATAGTATCAAAAGCTAGACTGAGATTATTTGTAAAAAATATATGAAAAGGAGTTTTTTGTTGGCTTGTTATTGTTTACCCCTTGTTCAGAAAGACTCATACTTTCTATAATTTAAACATTATCTCCTCTTTGGTTAAGACAATGCACAAAACATCCTTGAGTAGAAACACCTTGACCAATGGTGGCAAACCTATGGCACGTGTGCCTCAGCCAGCTGTTTGTTGTCATTGAAAGCTCTAAAAGTTTGTAATCACAAAAGATTAAAGATGTGAAGAACCAAGGAAACTGATGTTCATTGAGTGCATATGTGTATCCCTAGCTCTGCATTGTAAGGGGCACATAAAATAGTAGGTTAGACCTTAGATCCAACTGGCCTGTTTAAACGCTGGCCTTGTCTCTGATTAGCCCTGTGATTTTAGGAAAAAATACTAATTGATGTCTGTTTCCTGGCTGTTTTCTTCAATCCTGGGTATCATTGATCTGATGAGCAAAAGCGGTCCAAAATCCTGTGTTGATGTATCAAGAGAGTCAACCAAGGAACTTGTGGAGGCACAAGGTCCTGAGTTGGATCCACAGTTGTTGGGGGTGAATATGTATATAAGAGGGGCCACTCAGGACTGATGAGAACGAAACTATAGAGGGTCAGTAAGAAAATTTACTCAGATGGTGATACTTTAACAAAGCAACAGAAATGAGGTGTTGTGTCTGAGAATACCTAGGGCAGGGTATTCTAAGCAGTAGAAATAGCAAATACCAAAGCTATGGCATGCCTGGTATGTTTGAGAAAGTGAAGAACCCATTGTGACTATAGTGGAGTAAAGGTCAGGCTGGTAATGGGAAGATAGAGAAAATTACACTCACTTTTTCAGATTGAGAGATGATAATTATAAAATGCTTTGAATCTTACCTGGCTATGTCTATTCCTATGACCACCATGAGGTGTAGCTCAGTGCAGAAGACCCTGCTGCCAAAAATAAATACCCCCCCCAAAAAACCAATCTTCTAATAATGAAGTAAAACAAAAAGAAAATCAATACAGAAATAGCAAGATGTATAAAAGAAAGTCCAGCTTATGAAATAAGGGTTTCTAATTTACCTAATCTTACTT